ATAATACATAATTTAATTGAAAACTTGAGGTCATTGATTCCACTGTGTATGAAATTCAGGCAGTGAAAAGTGCTGAGTAGAGTCTGAGCGGGCCGTTTGTTCTCCTCCACTCACAGAACAAGAAGCGACCAACCCCTACAGCGCTGCTTAACACCAGGGCTTCGACTTCAAAATTCGAATATAATTCTAAAATAAAAAATATATATATATTTGAACAAATATTAGACAACCCTTATAATTAGAAATGTATTTAATGACTGCAAATAAAATAGTTAGCTCCCAAAGGTTTCACCGGGACGTGCTAGGCAGGTAACAGCTAAGCTAGCTAGCTGTTTCATGGTAACTTCCGGGTTTTTCGCGATCGCTTTTTGTCACTTTAAAACAGTATTTTTGTCATGAAAACGTTGACAGCAAATTCTGAAATCGTCCGTGCATGTGTAAGGATGTATATGTATACTGTATTGTCCGATTAACGTTTAATGGTGTTGATTGATTGATATGTATTTGTTTATTGAGCGTGGCTAGCTCTGCTAGCTTCTCTACACAGACAAGTGTGCAGAAAAACTGCACAATGTAGTGACAGGCGCTGATAGCTTGTTGTACTTGCAAAGTAATGGCAGTATTTTACACACCTGAATTACAAACAGAGATTGCATTGGGGCTGCGGTCATTATTGGTTTGAGAATTCTGTTATCAATAAAAAATGATCGGAAGAATTGCATTCAAGTCAATGGAGTGCTGCTGCTGTGAGGAGCTGTATAATAAATTATAATTAATTATTAGAATATATTCTAATGTTTAAATGAATACATTCGGACGCGAAACTAATGGTATTCTTTTACTTATATATTGTGTTAGCAGTGCATTGCTTTTGTACCATTTCATCGGTGATTGTTGCACAGCTTACAAGTTGCGCTAATGCTAATGTTAGCATACGTATCAGATCGCAAATAAAACTAGGTGGCTCCGTGTTACGAGAGCGTAGGGGAAATGAGAAGCCTGTGAGCGAGTTGGGGGGCGGTGCTAAACATTCAAACATTGCAGAAACGGGTATAGCGCCTTTAATAATGGGATCAATCTTTGGCTTTCTTCTCTTATCTCATGAATTATAACAATAACATTTTGAGTTTTCTTAAACACTTTGTGGGATGGACAGCTCCATAATAATAGATGAATCTCGTGTTTAATGTAATTTATGCTTTGCCACTTGACACCTTTGTTGTTTACGCTGCCGGCTACATTCTATCGTTGCATTTGAATGAGCACACTTTGTATCGTGCTTTGAATGACTGTTTGTGCTACCTTTTGATGGTAATTATGCTGAATAGATCATCTAATGTTGAATACTGGATGCACGAGAGAAAGCAGCGCTTTATTCCGTTCTATTTAAGTCTACACCTTCGCGCACCCTCTTGCCTCTTATTACGAGTTCAAGACACATTCATTAAAGCCTCTTATTCCCCTCACTGAATCATGTATCAAAGACTGAAATACATTTTTCATTGCGGTGGATGCAGCAGACGAGGCGCTGCGGTAGACAGACGGAGAGGGGAAAACAAAAGCTGAAGCAGCCTCACGGGAGCGGCGCGGTGTAATGAGAGGTTTGTATGTGCCGTGTGCGCGACCCCACGTTACACAACATAACCACCTAAATGTCCATGTGGATCTGTTTATTTGTGGAGCGCACTTACAGGCAGGAGGAGAGGAAGGGACCGTTATGAAGCAGGTGCTTAAATCTACTAGCACAACAGCTATATTAATCATCATGTTATCAAAAGTTCCAGATTTTTTTTTTTGTCATTTAGTCACTACATTTAAATTTTAGTATTAGAGAGGACGTTACAGATCAATTGAATATTATCTTGTATTGTATATAAGAATAGTAATAATGCATCGGTTTATACAGCACTTTTTTGGTCACTTAAAGACCCTTCACATGGAATTATTCATTCACTCCATACACCGTAGTGCTAAACTAATACTGTAGCCACAACTGCCCTGGGGCACACTGACAGACACGAGACCTGTTAAGGCCACTGGTTGCAGTGGCGTTTGCACCTGACCCATTGTTGATTAAACAGCAACAGTGGTTTTGAAGATAATGTTGTAATCCCATACCACAACCACATGATGGCGATCTGACAGGAGTGGCCTGGGACACCTACTGTCCCCTCTTCAGAACAAAAACAATGTGTATTGTCACTCCCGTATTCGTCCCGGAAACCGGATTCGTCCGGAAGTTCAGTTTGCGCATGTCAAAAAGTGTAGTAAGTCCTTAAATGGAGACTGGTTAAGTTTTAGGTGTCTAAGTAAGATGGTTAAGTTTAGGGTTAAGGCTGGGCTGGGGTTATTTTATGGGAATGGCTGGTTAAGTTTAGGCATGAATAGGTAGTTTGTTATATTTATTTCCGCTTCCGTCCAGATTCCGTGACGTAATCTACTGCTGCGTATGCTCATTGGATCAAACTGAATTTCCGGACGAATCCGTTTTCCGGAACGAATACGAAAGTGACATGTATTCTAGGTTTAAGTTTATGTGACAGTTCTATATATAGACTCATTGGTTCATAAATAATTTCAACTGTGATGCTGTGAATAAAGACACGGTTCTTGTTGGAAACATAATAATAATTATTAAATTGTGTTTGTGCACACACAAGCAAAACAACAAGTGATAAATATCTGAGACCAAACATGAACTTTTTAGGATGAATGCAACAAGGTGCAGACGCGATGAGATACAAGTGCAGATTCAAACAGACACAGGAACAGTACAAAATAAACCATATATAAATGTTCGGAGCGATGCAAACAAATCTCTAGTCCACAGCCTCCTATATATCAGGCTGCTTCCTATATATCAGGCTGCTTTTCCTTTGGTTCGTTCGAAGCAATCTTCTCCCAAGTGCCTCGTCCATGTCCTGCTTCCATGCTTCCATCCAAAACATAATCACACACAGGCTAATCACAACAGACTTTCTCTACGCTGAAAAATCCGAGGGTGAGAGCGCAAGGGTCTTGCAGTGATCCTTGCATTGGCATGTGACATTAGGTGATGTCACGAGGGCCATAGCAAGTTTAGCGACGTGCAAGTGGGCTTTAGAGCCATCAGCGCCACCATCCACCAACCATTCATGCACACCCCAGACTCATTTTAGTGTCTTGCCTAAGGACACAATGACAGTTTGGCACTTTACAGCCAAAGCCGCCGCACTGTGACACCTGCTGCTCCCAGAGGTCTCCCATCACAGCACCAACGGGCCCTGCCCAGATTAGCTGACGGGATCAGGCTTTCGCATGCATGTGGTGCTACTATATAGGAATAATACATGTTTGACTAACTACTAAAATAACATTTCTGTCTTTGTGATAGCCTTAATATGCATGTAGTTAGAACATTTCACATTTGAATGAAACCTACTCTCCTGTATGGACTGCATGCCTGGCCAGCCCCTGCGTCACTGTCTCGAAGCCTTGTCCTTTCCCTGGCTGCTCATGTGTCGCCTTTCGTCTCTTGTGATCTTTTACCTCAACTCTGACGCCACAGCACTGCTCCTCCTCTCTGTCGTGGAGGCTTTATTTATACACCTGCCTGAATGATTTTTTTGTTCAGGAAGGTCAAATAAAAAATAAAAAACCTTGAATACACTCATTCAGTGGCTCACCTGTGTTAACCGATCAAAACAAATGCAGTGTGTGAACTGCTCTTCAGCTCAAGTTAATGCTAAAAAAATGCATCATTTAGAAATATTGCAAATAACTTACACCTGGTCTCTGCAGTAAGACAATAACTGAAGCGCTAACACTCATGTCGGGGTGGTTTTCCTCAGAGCTTTCCCACATCAATCTAAAACATGTCGAATCTGTCGAGTGAGTAAATGGTGGTCAGAAGTTACACTGGCAGGCTTGCTTCTGTCACTCTACCCCAGGGCAGCTGTGACTACAATAGTAGCTGATGCCTGTCAGCCTTGTGAAGTGTATTACAAGTGTAAGGCTTACTATCATAATTATAATTAAAGTGACCGTGAAGTGACACTACCAGATAAAGTGTGGGTCAGATAGGAGAGCCTGCTCACAGTGAGGATGCCTCCCTCTCGATGTCACCTCTGTAATTATATTAATGCAAACAAACGCACTTAGCTCCTCTTCATAGCATGTATTGCTTTCCCTTAACACGTTTTTAGACTTTATTGATCTGCAAACATATTACTTACTTAATTGCATCAGCACCATAAAAACCAAATAAAAGATTATACTAAAATACAGGGAGACTATAAGACTGAAAGTTGCATAGCTCCGGGCAGGGTTTGTCTCGGATTATTCACCAGTGCTTCTGTTTAAAGAAGGATTTAAAACACAGGTTAAAATAGACCAGTCAGCCACAGCCACAACGGTAAACATGTCACATCAAATTGTCTCTTACCATAACACATTTACACCCATAATTCTTTATGATTGTAATATTAAAAGCTTGTGCACTTTTATCTCTTCTCCTGCTTCTGGACCTCCACATCCCTTTCTAGTGCTCAGCATCAGGGCCAAACGACTTCACAGCCATTATCACCTCAGTGATTCATGAATGATCCATGCCCCTGGGGTGACCCTCCTCATACAGTATGAAAGATACACTAAAGCGGGGGCCAAACACAGGTGTGATAGCTGTTATGATAGGACAAGAAGAGTTTAATCAATGCAGCAGTAAATACAAGTGGATGGAAACCAGCCTGTTTTGTATACTATACAGTACATTAAAGAGCTCCCTTCCCTTTCATGATTCATTAGTGTTGATTGATTTATATACTGTAATTTGTCATTTTCATGCAACTCAAAAGCTACATCATGTTTCACACAACCACCACAGCCACAAACATAGTTAATTCATACCTCAACTATGGACCTGGAGGCAGCAAATGCCACCATGATGGCTGTGTGCAACTGTATTTTTGTTTGAATGTGATGACATGAAATTCATCACTTCAATGGCACAGAATGGTGAGGTCTTACCTGGAGTTGGTCATGTCCGTCTGTCCTCCCTGGCTCTTCTCTAGGCCCAGCTTGGTGAATATTCCCACCAGAACCATGATGGCCACCACTCCACAGATGATGTAGACGATCATGTGTGTGCGGTCGCGGTACGGCTCCTCCTGCACCTCCGTGACAGGTGGGGCGGGGCGGCCTGTGTTGGCCCACACCGGGGTGTCGTAGTTGGAGCAGGATGTCTGGTCGAGGCTGTGCACTTTGAATTGGCAGCAGAAGCGGTAGAAGCAGGAGCCACAGCAGAAGCTGTAGATGCCTGAGTTACAGTTGAATGGAGGGTCCCATTGGCCCATGACGTCGTAATAGCCCCAGCAGCGGTTGGTGCTGGTGGGAGCTGTCTGGTCCTCAGTATCTGCTATGGGGGTGGGCAGGGCTGCGTCTGTGAGACGCGAGCTCTCAGTTTGGTTATTCGGCATGGCCTGTGCCAGTGCCCCCCTTGACTGCTCTCCCAATCCACCCAGAGAAGTCAGCCCAAGCATCGCAGCCAGACTCAGGCTAACCAGCGCCGAGCTCATGTTAGGGGCCATGATGGACTTCATCTACTTGAGTGTTTCAGCTGTTAGTGGCGTTTGTCCAAATGCCAGGACAATTGCAAATACAGCGCTAAAAGGCTATGGAGTCACTGTGTGCAAAGCTATAGTAGTATTACTCATAAACAAAAGAGTGAACAACTTGTGAACTGAGTTTCTCTTGTTCCATTAGAAAATATTTCTGTCCTTTGCTCTTGGACAGGGTTTTAGCTGAGCACTGCAACTGTCATCAGGAAACAGAGCGATGAGTCAAACAAGTCAATCTGGCTCCCAGCATGTTCTTAACAGGATGAAAAGTGTTAGTGGGGAGCCACACTCTAATACAGGATACGTACAGTCAGTGTGGGAGCGTGTGTGCTTGGGACTAACCGTATACAAACACTATTGAGAATAAAATCACCTTTTATAAAGCCATATGTCATCCAAAGACAGCAGAGGTAGGAGCAAACTGGTCCAATACCAGAAATCCAGTTAAGATGACGGATTACCTATGAATCAACTTTCCTGTGGACATCCAGCAGAGAATCAGCAATAATCCATAAAGTTATTCCTGGCAGTAAAAGAAATAAACTGAAAATCTGTCTCTTTTTTATATTTCTTAAAAAAAAAAAAAAATAACAGAATTAAACGAGTATTTCCAAAAAAATTTGTCCAGCTTGGAGTATTTGCTCCTCTGAGTCTAGCATACAATTCTGCAGCTCGCTCTCACATTCTTCCAGTTGTTCTTTTCCCTTCCTCCTTAAAGCTTTCCTTTGGTAGAAAATAGTCCCTCTGTGTCTGAGGCGGCAGCTGTATAGTCCAGTGTCCGTGCCGCTGCTGTTTTTGCGTTCCTAAAGTGTTTGAAGTCTCTGGTGCGCACGGCCCCTCGTTCTGCTGTGTCCCTGGGCTTTTCCTGCAGCTGTTGCTCACACTGCTGTGTCTTGTGCGCGGTCAGGAGTGGCCCGGGACCACCACTGTCACTCACTCTGCTCTGAGGGCTATAGTGCAGAATGAGGAGGGTGGGGGGCTGCTTAAGACTCAGGTCTGACTGCCTTTCACAAACTCACTGCAAGCACAGACTTTTAGCAGAGCAGAATGTCCCACATACTGGATAATTTCTTTTGTCTCCACTTTCTGTTGTGTACTTGTTGACACGGATGTTGTTGTTTTTGTCCAGGCTTACCTCACAGAGAGCTGAGTTCAGAAGCCTGTGGGCTCTACACACGTGCCCAGCTCCAGCTCATTTGGACGGCCGAGACAAGTGTAGATGCGACAGCGCAGCGGCCGTGGCGGCGCACAGGGGATATATCCTGTTTTCAAAAGAAGCTCCCTCTGGAAATAAAGGAATGCAGCAAGGACTTTCTCTCTGCTCAAATCTTAAAAGGCAAAAAAACTGACCGAAACCACAGTGTATTAATATGCAACAGTTTTAGGCAAATGCTGCATATTAATTCCCCATTTCTCATGCAGTAAATTTGTTTTGCTGACAGTCAGTCCTTCTCCGGCTGCAGATTCTTTGAAAACAGGCATAATTTGATATATATGTATAGGAGTTTTATATATATATCATATGTATGTGTTTTCACTGGTGCTCTGCTTGTGGTCCAAACAGGCGTCAGTTATTCCGCAAGTGAGTGGCTTGTGGTTCTTCCAGAGTAAATCCTGTGTTGCTCCATGGCTCGGTGTGCGTCCTGCCGTCTGCTCTCCTCACTGCTGCGGCTGCTGGTCTGTGCAGGACTCAATGACAGACTCTCACATACTCTGAAGCGCACACTCCTCCCTCCCTCCCTCTCTCTCTCGCACACACACACACACGCACACACACACGTGCACACTCACTGAAGCCACAATCCTCCCTCCGCCGCACTCTCTCTCTCTCTTTCACCCTCAACATGCGCTCCATCCCTGTCTCCCCTCCTGTCACTGACTCTTTTGTTGTTGTATTTGCATGTTCTTATTTTTTTCCACCTTTAAAGTCTGCTTCAGATTGTAAATTCTCTGTTTTGTTATGTTTTTTTAGGTAGGTGAATGATGTACCTTTGATGCACATTTGAACCTACTGTAAAATGGCTCTAAAATCATGATCCTAAAAATAGAATTTCTAACATGTTCCTTTGCATTCTATGGAGGAAGTTGAATTCTGTTGTTGATTTGTGCCTTTGATGCAAATTTTAACCTACATTCTTTCACGGCTCTAAGATCATGATTGTAAAAACAGACTTTCTCACATCTGCATTCTGTGGAGAAAGTCAAATTCTGTTATGCTGTCATTGACCACTAGCATATTGACTGTGTGTGTGTGTTTTTTTTTTATGGAACCCAAATTCACATTTTATTTTATCATTTGAATTGGTGTTTCTCCATATTTTCAAAAGATGGTTAGTAGGCATTGAAGCTTGCCTCTTACCATAACGTATGTATTTTTAGATGAAACAGCACCCTTTGATAACACTATTCCGGTGTGAGAATGAGGCTTCCTTCTGCTTCTGCGACTGCTGCCGCTTTGCCGCACTTTTCAATCTTTGTGTGCACAACAGCACGTGTGCCACTGCAGTCTGTGTGAGCCATGATTTAGGAGACAGGAGGAGCGAGAGTCGGCTGGGATAAACGGGAAAGAAGAGCAGAGAGAGAGAGAGAGAGAGAGGGAGAGACAGTGTGCAGTGTGAAGCAGGAATTAGGAAATGAGGGAGGAGGATTAAGGAGGGAGGGAGAGCGCAGACAGGTGGGACACACAGCAAGCGAGTGGTTCTGGTTTTGACAATAATTGCAATGAAATGGAACATGAATAGTTTATCAGTGCTTTTTAGATTGTGCTGTTTTTTTTACTGCAAGCAACAAGGATTAAAAGGAACTTAGAATTCACATGTTTTGTTTTGATGTTTGTTTTTTGTCCACATTTTGGATCAGTATTTGTGTAACTCAGTGGTCCTCAAGGTCCTGAGTCATATTTGTTGCCCTACATTCTAAGGGTTTGAGTCCAAAACATGTTTCACTAATCCTGTATCAACTTAAATAATGATCCACTGCACTGGTAAGATGTAACAATAAGTTTAAGTAAGTAATCTTTATTTAAATATAATGTAAATGTGCACTTTATTGTCCTAGTAGTGAGATTTGTCCTCAGCATTTGACCCATCATGATGCCACTGAGGCTTGCGTCAGGAGCAGTGGTCGCTGTTGTACAGTGCCCGGAAACCCATCTCCAGATGTTACTGCTCGGCTTGGTCAAGTCTACCGTAGCTGTAGGATTTTTACCTATTGAGCATATTTTTGAGTAGTAGGGGAAACCGGAGTACCCGGAGAAAACCTATGCAGACACGGGAGAACATGCAAACTCGTCTCAGAAAGGCACTGTTTAAACCAAGATTTGAAACCAGGATCTTCTTGCTGAGAGGCAAGAGTGCTAGCCACTCAGCCATAGCCCCTTTCGCAGACTAGAGTCACAAGGCGCTTTACAATTGTTGTGGGCATTTGTCTCTCACTCCACAAAGAGATGGCAGCAAGGTCGCCAGTACAGAAGGCGCATGTCAGATCTATTCGTGCTTTTAGTGGTAGGGTAAACCGGAGCACCCAGAGGAAATCTACGCAGACACGGGGAGAACATGCAAACTCCACACAGAAAGATCTTGAGGTGGAATCAAACTCAGGACCTTCTTGCTGTGAGGCAAAAGCGCTTGAAGATTTTGTTTTGCCATTTTTCTTTCTAACTCTCCTCTGGGTTCCTGACATCTCGGCTACTTGCCACATCAAGCTAAGTCCTCCAAACAAAGGCATTCCAAATATCCTCTAAGATCTTAGCTTTTTCAGAGAGTCTTCATCATCAGAATTTGTGGCACCACCGGCATGTGAAAGCCAGATTACGTCAGACCTTCGAAGCTAAATAGGGCAATACGTGTTTAGTACTGTGATGGGAGACCTCTGGCCACACCAGGTGCCAAAGTGGGGCGGCTTTAAAGTGCCAAACCGTAGTTGTGTCATTAGGCAAGACAGATGGTGTGCCCAAGGGCAGTTGTGGCTACTAAAAGTTATCACCAAAGTGTATGGAGTGATTTAATACTGTCATGTGAAGCGTTTGTGAACTGATAAATCATTATTATGATTATTAAGAATCTTATTGTGATTATCATTCTGATTGTTATAGTTATCATCATCATCTTCGTCACCATATTTATTGATGATCGGGATCATGAAATTTAAATCCCCTGGAGTCCACACCCTGGTGGTGGTGGAAGCTGAAGGATGAGCTGATGCCAAAAGAGCGAATGTTGAGGTGATGTGCTGCTGACTGCACAGGTGTGTAGTGAAAGGGGAACAGTTGGAATCATGACCACAAGAGATATTCTGGTCTGAAACTATAGCTCAACTTTTGCTGTGAGAAAAATAAGCGTCTGAATGATTCAAAATACTTAAAAATTTAAACGTGAACTAGATCATAAGATTTTACAGGAAATTCTTCTGGGTATTAGTATAAACTGGTAAACTGCAGCCCAGCCCACAAAAACAGCTTAATATTTGATAAACCCTCCAAAATATTCCACTTGTTTTGCATAAAGTGTAAAGGAACTCTCTGATTCCCCCGTCCGCGATATTAAAGCCGTCTTTTGTCCTTTCCCATTTTTTGTCAATGACGTGTTGTTATGTCTCCAAGTAACCCTCTCTCTTTGTGCTCATGGTCTAAACTTGCCCCAAATTTATGGCAAAGTGCGCGCGTTACTGTATGTCAAATCAAAATGTCAAATGCGCACACATACTTTTCCCACTTGCTAAAATGAGAGCAGTCATGAGGAGCAGGTGACACACACACACGCACAGACGTAGAGGACCCCATCTCTCACATATTAAAATACACAGTGCCATGACTTCACAATATGGCGTGCGTCCCGAATCGGCTAATCCTCTTCCACCCCATAGTCTGACTTTTACGTGTCCTCAGCACATTTTGGTGGTGTGTGTGTAAAAGATGTAAGTTGTTGTGGGGGTTTAGTCTGGCTTCGACTCGAGATAAACACATCACTGTC